AAGACTCCATACAGAACAGCAAGCATCCCTCCGCAGCCCCCTCTTTGGCACCGTGGCTTTGCTAAATCTGCCTCACCATTTTGTGAGTGGGAATAATCAGCTTGGTAGGTTGGAAGGAAGTATTATAATTAAATATCCACCCACCTTTCTCCTTTTTGATGAAAGGCTCCCATGAAACTTACTAAAATAAGGTACATCAAGACACAAATTTTCGATGAGTAAGTCAAAGTACCGCCAAACCTGGCTTTTCACATAGAGGAAGTTCTTAGTTCTCAGAACATTTTCAGGTCTCGAACATTAAGCACTGTCATATTTAATAATAATTAATACACTAAAGCACATGGGATAAACTGGAGGTTCTACCATGAACTGATTTTCTGAGAACAAATCAGAATATGATTCAAAAATAGTAGTGGAGTTTTAAAACAACTTTTAGAGAAATTTTAAATAATAGCCATTATACAAAATAATCCATTTGTTGAACACAATGACAATTATTCTTTTGAATAAGAGCTGTATCACCATATTAAAGTTACAAATTGTATCTACAAAGGAGGCAAAGTTCTTTAAAGATGTTATCAAATCATCACAAACTTCTGAGCAAAATCCAGAGCAGGGTTTATAGTGTCCGCTTTTGATAATTAATGGCAAAGACATCTGCTAACTCATTATGAAGAATTATTTTAAGTATCCATGTACAGTAGAATAAGGAGGTACTCTACTTAAATAATTGGGTTCAGGCCTATATTTCAAGTCCAGTCACTGAAATCCCCGAGGTCAACTTTTTAGAGGAAATGAGAACTGAGTTGGTGTTAGAAAGGTGTCCCTTCATTCAATACAGATTTACTTGGCACTAGCCATACAGACTTTGCTATTATTTGAGGGCTCAAAATAATAAAAGATAAAATCTTTACTCTCTAGAATTACTAAATATTTTTATTTTTTTAGATTAATACTTTAAACTTTCTGTTTAATTGGTATTATTGGTGGGAGCCAGTAGAGTAAATGGTTCCCTAATTCACTGTCCATGCAATATCAAAGGATGGGGAAGTCTAATCAATGAGCACCTTTGTCATTAATTACTAATCACTAAGTGAAGGTAACTTTCAAATTGTGAGCCTCTTGATTCTTGTTTTTCCTTCCCACTGTGGCTTGGTGGATTTGAAAATACAGAGTAGCTTGGATATTCAGAGTAGGAACAGCTTTGGCTAACAGTTACTTAGTTCAGTATAACAAAATAAAACTAGTCACAAGGACCTAGTTTCTCCAATTATTGATACTACCAAGGCTTTTATAAGCATCATTTCACCCATGATCATTTTAAAATGTTATACCAAACTACATGGTAATATAACAGGAGACCTCAGACATGACTCCACTAAAGAACAGGAATGTATGTTCAGACTTAAATATTGACTGATTTGCTCCTTATTCCCATTTCTTTTCTCCACTGCCTCACATCCTTTTGGTTTTCAAATTATCATCTACATAATTTCTTAACGGTTGGTATTTTGGTGCTTTGTGTTCCATTCCACTTTTTATTATCTTTTTTGTAAAAGTTACACCATTATCTAAAATGTTCCTTTAACAGTATAGACTTTTTCTTCAAGATCTGATAGGAATTCTTTAAAAGTGAATTTTTTTTCTACTGAAGTCTTACTTCAACAAGTTCACTGATTTTAGATTTCTCTGACAAACATAGTAGAGGTATCAAAACCAAGACATGTTGAAAATAGGTTTTTCTTGAAGCCATTTAGAATCTAAGACTTTCTGCCTTGCTATGTCAAATTGCCCAGCTTGGGAGTAAGATGGGTATATGTGTATGTCTGTGTAGGGAGGTAGTAGGAAGCAGGGAGGTGGAGGATTGATACGCAATCTATACAAAGTTAACTCAGAATGCCATGAGAAACTGATATATTCTCATAATATAAACTCTCCTATTTCCCCAACTGTCACAGACACTTCTGTCTCAATGTTTGTAAGAAATTAATGATGACTTTCTCTGTTGTTTTGGTTAGACATCTCCTTTCAAAAATGCATTTTCCTGAGAGATAAATGTAATGCTCTTTTTCTTTCCTTCTTGATAAAGAACCCAGTGTGCAAGTAATATACTTAAAAATCATTTTCATTTTCTCCTATGTCTATATCTCTCAGAAAAATAGAAGTCTCTCAACTGTAGAAAGTATTTGTTGGATCACAGAAGTTCAGAAACTGGTAGTGGCCTTAAACATCTTTTTTTTAAAAAACCTTCACTTTATAGATAAAGCAAATACAGCCCAGAGAAGTGTAGTAGATTGCAGGTGGCAACAAATCCTTTGCTATGCCTTCCACTGAGGAATGGAGTCTCATGGCCCCCAGTTGCCACTCACTCCTTGGGTTGGAGCTGGCTCTGTGATTGTTTTTACCCATAAAACACAGAGGAAGTTGTACCCTGCCAATTTTCGGGCCCGGGCCTTAAGAGAACGTCAGGTCTACTTTCTATCTCTGCCTTACTCTTAGGACTTCTCCTATCAGAACTCAAAACTATGCTGTGGGAGGCGGAAGCTACATGGAGAGGCCATGGATTGGTGCTCTGGTCGACAACCACAGCTAAGCTCCCAGCAGATAGCTAACGAGCACTTTCACTCATGGGAATGTGCCATCTTGCATGTATAGCCTCATTAGACCTTTGAAGGGCTACATTACCAGCCAATATTTGCCAGCAATCACATGAGAGACCCTAAGGGAGAATTGCCCAGCTCTGTCCAGTCAACCTACACATCAGTGTGAGAATAATGAATGGTTGTTTTAAGCCACTGCATTTGGGGATGGTCTGTTATGTAATAAGTAAAAGCTAACTAGAACTAAAAGTTACATAGACCAGCTTCTAGCTATACCAAAGTGAGAACTATAAGACTCCAAATCTATCATAATCTTATAATGTGTTAAAGGAACATGCAGAGTTAAATTAGACTCATTCTTAGTCACCTAGTAGCTCAAAATTCCAAAACCTTTTCTTTCAATAATCACATAAAATACATAATTTCCAAAATTCTTAAACATTTAAAACAGACCCTTAGAGCTCTACCTACATAATAAAAAAACATCACTTGGTAGTAAATTAAGGCAGCATTTTCAAGTGTTCCCTGAAGGCAACTCCTTAGTAATAAATATCATGAAAAAGAGTTCCTTGGGCAAATTTAGGGAAATTCTGACGAATTAAAGCAGTCTCTTTAACTCTAGATTTTTTAGAAATGTAAAGTAGCCAAGAGAATAAGCTTTTTTCCCCAAATTGTGTGATTAAGAAGTCCCTCTTTAATGAGAACCTTATGAGATTTAGAATTCACAGAATCACTAAACTGGGAAATAGAAATAGGGATGCAACTTTATTAGCAGAAACCAACTTTTACTCTCAGAATATTTTACCAAAAAGTTGTTTTTATAATCTGGTGTGCCTTCAGTTTGGAGAATACATTTTTAGACAAAACTTTCACAATTCTCAGGGGCTACACCCAGATACCTTTAACAACCCGCTCCCCCTGTTTGTACCTCTTAACACATTCTTGTGAGCATAGTTAATGAGTATTAGAGGAATGAAGATAAGAAGAAATAAATAAAACTAGATAAATAATAAATAATTGAATAAATTAGTTAAAAGTGGCAAACCTGGGAATCAGCTCTGACTGTCATTAACCTGGTTTGGATTTTGTGCCTTCATTTCCATATAAGGCCAATGGGAATTACAACCATTGGCCTGTTTTAATGGAAATTCTTGGGATGTTCAAAGGACACGTCAAAGTTGAGGTGGGGAAGTTTTAGGGATAAAGTGATCTTAGCAATCATCTATTTATTTACTCTTTTCATCTATTAGATGTGAAGATTGAGATTCAAAAAGAGAGTTTATAGTATGAGTATTAGCCACATTAGACACTTTCTTCCTAGTGGATCCACCTTAAAGGTCTTAGTACCACCCTCTATTTTAGTCAATATCATATTGAAAACCGTGATTCTAATCCAGATGGTGACTATTTCCTAACACAAGTTTTACAAGCAATTTTGGCCTCAAAACACATATTTTACCAGCATTCATGTCCAGTATAAAAAGCTGTGACAGTCAAAACATTTAGTAACCAGTATGGCATGAGCACTGACAATGATTACAGACACTAGTCATCACGATTTGTATAATCACATGGAAGGGTACCAGCAGTGCATCAGCTCTGGTATATGCACGCGGTCAGTCACATTTCCCCCTTCCTGCCACTGGTTCCCATTCTTGTAAGCACTGCCACATTACTGGAAATTCTTCCCTTGGGGCTCTTTCTTATACTGTGGCTGCATTAATGTTCATAATACAATAGGTGTCATTATGTTTTTCCTGGGAATCACACAGTCCTTCATGGCTCCTGGAACAATATGCCACCCTGTCCCTCAAATCTTGGGGTATTTTCATGTTTCCAGTTTACAAGCAGAAGGAAATTATAGTTTTATCCCCTCCTCTTCCCCCATCTAAGGCATGGACAGATCCAATAAACCCCACTTAATTACTCTGAACCTCTCTACCCTATATATCCTACATTCTTGTTCTATAGTCATATTACATAGTTGCATATTATTTGAAAGGCTGAAAAAGTAATACAGCCATGAAAATATGGTAGAAAAGCCAAAAATGACACGAAGTCAAATATTTTGTTTCCTTTAAGTTTTAATAGAAAGAAAATATTTGTAAGAGTAGAACAAAGTATCTCTATTTAACCAGTTTGATTATGTGACTCTAAAAAGAATAAGCATTTTAAAAATATTGATTATAGTTTCATAGCTCTTTCTAAATAAATCCTCCTTTCCACGCCAATGGGGAACGGTTTAACACAGTTTGACATATAAACTTTCATATTACTTTGTCCCAACTCTGCTTCATTTGTAATATTTTGTCGAAAGTTTTTATTTAAGTACAATTCAATTGTAATGGGGAATGGTAGCCTCATTTTCCTGGGTTTAGAGTAAAATTTTGGCACACTTACTTCCACAAGTCTGTTGGTGTGTTCACGAAATATCGCAGCATATTCTTTTATTTCCCTTTCCCGGCCATTCTTGGCAGCTTCAATGAGAACCAAGAGCGGGACTGTCGTATCCAGAAAGGAGTCTGACACATGATCAATGATGGCCTTGCGGAGCTGAGGGGAAACAGAAAATTTATGCTTTAAAAAAATCAGGAAATAGTTAATCTTGTTTTGTATTTTAAAACCTTAGTACCTACAAAATTTATTTCATATATTTTTGCACAGTCCTTAAAATCATATTTAAGACTGTGTATTTATGCCACATACAAAGCTTAAAATAAGCAAAATAGCAAAGAAAATATCAAGCAATAGCTCTCTTGCTCTTAAAAATCACTATTTTTTTCTTTACTTGTACTTATCCTGGCAGATCATAAATGATAATACTTCATTTTTTTCTCAAAATTTATACAATTGTAATGTTTGTATATGTGTATTAACAATATTGTACATCATGTATTTTATAATTACAAAATTATTAAATGTTTTCTGCCTTGTTGGAGGAACTGATAAATTTTGATTAGCTAAATTGTATACTTTGTGATACTTAAACCAAGTTATATCACTGATTATGCCAGTTGATAATGGATTAATAGAGCAAAGAAAATAATAAATAAATTTGATGTCCAATTTTCTTCATTTGCATTAATTGTTCTTGCCTTCACACCTTAAATTATTAAACAAGTGTAACATTCTGCTACAATTAGTTCTTTTAAATTAGATTTTGTGGAAGCTTATAAATGACAATCAAACAATTACTCTGCTCAGCAGACATCTCCAGAAATTTAAAAATGCATTAGAAAATTAGTGCTTTGTATTTATATAACATTGACCCCTTGAGGATCACAATATCATGAAATGTTTATTAACAATACCAATAACTATGAATGGCCCCAGAGTGTTTTGATTACCTTCTCATTTAATTCAATAACTTCTGTACAATGAAGCAAATAAATGAATAGCTATCAGACAGAAAATTTGTAATTTGCCTTTTGTAAAAATTATATTTGGGAGTATTTTATAAAAACCAAGACACTTAACTTAGTTTAGAATTATATGAGAAATAATAATACATGTTCAAGGGATGGAATGATGTAGCTACATAGAAAAATATAGTCTATCTTTCTATAATAATTATAGAAAATACATTCATAATAATTATAGATTTCTGGGAGAAAACACCTCTGCCTACGATAGTAGAGCTTGCTCAGAACTGTGAAATATTCTGGCTACGGGCAATTTCACAAAAGCTACAGGAAATCCTCAAGGAAAAATTCTACTTAGCATGCAGAGAAGCAAATCACTAATGGCAACTAATTAATATTTACTGAGCACTTACTAGGGTGGGGTGTAGAGTGCTAAGGGGTTACAAGGCAAAGGAAGTGAATGAACAATGTGTTTTCCTTCCATAAAGAGGGAAAAGAGAAAATCAGGCAAGAGGTGGTAAGTTAGCACATGCACTGGGAAGTACAAATTGTGTTAGCTCTGGACATGTAAGAGTAAAGTAGAAGGAATCTCTCAGAAGGGTAACCACTTTCAGTGACCATCTCTCTGCCCTTCATTTTTTTCTTCTTTCATTTGTAGTTAGGACATATAGAAGGTGGGCTATAAGGAGATCAGCAAAAAGAGTTATGCAACAGAAAGCCAGCACACATGTGGGAGACAATTCAAGCCAAGGAAGTGGACAGGATCAGAGAGAGAGAGAGACTCACAGTGAGACAATATCCAAAGATGAAATCTTAAGAAGTAGTACCATTTGGGGGGTGTCATGCAGATGGAAGAGTAAAACCTAAAACGTGACTGAGAATAAAATGATCCCTCACCTATCTCAGGAGTTACATTCCAGAGGCCCCCACAATAGGTGAAAATCCACGAAGTAGCAGCATTATATTTATTTTATTATTTATGTATATTTTAAGGCTTTATAAACCATTCCCACACTCCTATAAACCTTTCCCATCTCCCTTATCAACCTTTCCCACACTCTTATAAACACTTCATATGCTCTTAAACACTTTCTACACTCTTAAACCTATGTAATTTTAACAACATAAAATTCTACATGGGTACTCACCAGAGGAGTATACAGTTGGCGCTTTCTATATCACTATTCACTTATTGTGGCCTCACTGTATCGTGGGTTTACAGTGAGGCCGCATAAGTGAACCATGATATAGTGAGGGACAACTGTATGGCCAAGAAACAAAGAGAGCAAATGGCCAACAACTAAAGGAGGAACTTTCAAATAAATCTCTGTGTCAGTGTTCTCCAAATGAACTTACGCTACTAGACACAATTATAACACCTACATTATGAACTTGTTGAATCTTTTTTTCTATTTGATTTCATTTAATTCAACAGATATTCTGAACACCATTTTTTACATTCCTACCAAGAACAGGGTATTGTGAAAAATGTCAGGATGAAATGCATGGTCCATTGTAATCAAACGGAAAAGTGAGCCATTTAATATTTTAATAAAGGAAATCAGGAGATTTGCTCTTTGCTCTCTTTGAGAGCAAAGAAATTTTAAGAAGATAATAGGGTTCAGAATCAAATTGAAAGATAAATTACATGAAAATAGCCAAGACTTGTCTATTGGATTTGACCACTAAAAGGTTACTGCTGAGCTTAGAGCAGTTTCAGTGGAAAAGCTGGAGCAGGAGTCCTATTGCTGTGGTTTGAAGAATAAATGTGAGAGGCAGGGGCAGAGACAGTGAGAATGAACTCCTATTTCTAGTCATTCAGGACATGAAGAAGCAAGACTTGGTATTAACTATACTGGAACAGGTTTAAAGAGGGATTGCTTTTCATATAAATGGCTTTGACGTTTGTTCTCATCTACAATATAACTACATGCAGAAAGTCAAATTGTCTTCTTGTGCTTTTAAAAAAATACATTTTGATTTATCACCATACAAAAATCTAGAGAGATGGAGAAAAATTGCGCCAATTTTTTAAATACCTAAATAATTATAGCAATCTTTTTCCAGAGCTGGATACATTTACTATGGTCGATTCTTCTCCACTCTGTGGTTCCCTTAATTTTTTAAAAAGATTTTATTGATTTATTTTTAGAGAGAGGGAAAAGGAGGGAGAAAGAGAGAGAGAATACTCACATGAAATATCAACCCTGATCAGTCACCCCCCGGCATGAGCCCCAACTGGGGACTGAACCTGTAACCCAGGCATGTGCCAGGACCAGAGATCTAACCAATGACCTTTTGCTTTGTTGGATGATGCTCAACCAATTGAGTCACACTGGTCAGGGCTTCCCTTCATTTTAATGATCTTTACTCCCTGTTCTATTTTTATTTCTTCAAGGTTTTCAACTATAATTTCCCTGCCATTAATTCAAGCCTTTATTCCATGAACAAGTACTAAAACATATTACAAAGGTGAGGCTCAAGGTACAGCTGATTTACTATTAATTAATGAACAAATAAATAAATTTTTTGGCTATTTTTTAAAAAATTAAACGAAAGTAAGAACTTTTTCTTTCACTTCTTTCGAAAGCATGTTGCTAACTACATAGCACATGGAATGAGAAAAGGTATTCCACTAAGTGTGGTATTATCTTCAGTAAGACACTACTAAAAGATTAGAAAATGAGCTTTCAAATGAGGTCTATGCCAACATCTTCAAAATTCTTTTGTAAAATGGGCTAAAATGATCTGACATAACGTCAACTATAATGAGCACAATTAATCTTATTTTCTGTAACTGTACATTCATTTAAACTAACAAATGCATTTTGGTCTGTGTAGGGACAAGGCAGCAGTCTCAGCAACCTGGTGCCTGCCAGGGCGATAAAGACAAGGTAACTATTAGTGACTGGGGATGAACACAGAGTTTGATGAGTGTCTTAGGAAAAGCAAAAATGAATGAGAAACTTTATACTGATGGTCCTGATGAGGAAGGCCTGAGAAAGAATGGGAGACATGTATTTCATTTTAAAAGCCGAAGAGGAAGTGGGGAGCATAGCATTCTAGGAAGACAGTCATAATCAAAGAAAATAGAAGGATCCTCAGAACGTCACAAGTATCTAGTGTTACTAGAACATGATGTAAGAGTCCTTACTCTAGAACACTAGAGTAAGGACTGAAATAAGATCCCATTAGGTAAAATGAAGGTAATGGAAAACATTTTGAGCAAAAAGAACAAAGTAAGACAAAAATATTAAAAAATGACAGAATTAAATGACCAGAAACTGGTGACTTGTGTTAGGCATGAGTGATACCTTTAAGAGATAACACACAGTTAGCAGGAAGAAAAATACATTTCATTTTGAAAGTGACTTAACCCACGCAAACAATAAGTAGTGCAATTAATGCAACCAAACCATGATTTTCTCACCATATTGGCTATCTCACTGATTCTTGATCATTACCATCCCATTTATAGGCATGATTATGAACTTCAGGAGAGGCTTTTGGTGCTTTACATCTCATATACCGGGTCAGTCTGATTTCGGCTCTTGCTGAGGGGAACTGTCTCATGTCCTCTGAAGACATCCACCTTGAGTGCATTCCATGCTTCTCTTAGTTATTCTTTCTCAGGGCTTGCTCTAAGTCTCTCTCAGTTCTCAGCCCATGAACAAAGAGCCTGGGCATTCTGGAAAGTCAACACCACTGGCAGTAGCCCTCAACCAGTGGCAGGGTAGGAGCTACTAGATAAAACTCTCAGCATGCATCCATTGGTCAAACAAGTCTGGAAGGCATTATATCCCTTCTCAGAGGTCCATAGGCTCCTGCTGCCTATAGGAGCAACCTCAATAGCATATTCTTTCCTTCTTCCCTACCTGTTATTTTACTTTCCAGGTTCTCTTACACCAGCTTCTTGGCATCACTTCCCATATAAACTACCTGTAGTAGGCCTCAGTCTGAGACACTGCTTTCAGGAGATTCCAATACATAATAGACATATTTGCCTGGTGTTAATGTTGTTTGGTCATGTACAAAGTAACAGACTGTAATGTTTTACATTAACTACACATTGACCATCCCACAGTATCACTTCTACATACCACCAGGTTTGATTCTGCCTTCCCCTGTATTATGCTGACTGTGGGAAAAAATATAAGATAGGACTAGAAATGCACATAGGGACGAGACAGG